CCATTTAATCCCTGCAGCAACAGCAGCACAGTGGCAGCTCAATGCATTCCAGGCCCCCAAGCTATATCAGATCTGCTTCCTCTGAACTCCTGGCTCCAACCATCAGCTTGCCTCCTAAGCACATCTCTTTTTCTGCCCTTTGATTCTTCTCTGATCACTAGGGCCAGACTCCTTCTCAGTCCACTAGTTTATACCACCTATACCTTGGTGTAGGTCAGCTGCCTACATATATTTACAATTTACACTTACACCTAACTTCCAATCTTCTTCCCTTTGGTAATCCCCTGAGTTGAATACCAGAGCAATACTCAGGGTCAGACCAAGGTTGGAGACCAGAGATCAGGAGTAGCTGGTTCTGACTTCAGACTGGTAACTAAGAATCACAATGGGATCAAAGACTGGAAATCAGAAGGTGATGCAAGGCCTGGAGCTGCAGTAAACCAAACATCTATATGGTTGTTCAGACAACTTTCTGAGGCACCCTTTAGGGTCAACAAGTTAGCATGGGCCAGGGTGCTGTTGGTCTGACCCCTTTGGGTGGTACTTCCTGTGACACCTAATCTCCACAGTACTCCTTGGAGGTGACTCTGCATAACCTCCCAGTGGTGATATAGGAATGTCAGATAGCTGCTCTAGGAACTGCAGACCTGGGTTCTAGTCCTCCACATCCTTATAATAACTAACTCTGTAAAAGCAAGTTTCTCTTATAGTATGGGAGTTTCATATCATACATGAATTATGGGAGCTTTTTGTTTCCCCAAGAACTCCCAAAATGAACCTCTTGTACTATAAGAACATACTTCTGAGGTCACATTTTAATGCATATAATAACAAACACCCACAATAAGCACAAAGCTTTTTCACACAATTACTTAACTTTCATCAAATTTAATAAATAGTAGAAGAAAATAATTGTATACACTAAAGTTTATCCTATTATTGCATTCATAAGTACAACTATAGTTTACATTAAAGAAAAGTAGAAGATTTCACTTTTATGATACTTAAATCTTACACGTTTTACATTGGTGACGAAAAGAAGGTATCAAACAGCATGTGACTGATACTCCTTTCCAGTTTTGAATTGCCACATTTAAATAAGAAAGTAAGACTAGGATTTTTCAAAAAATCCTAAAGAAGGTAGGATGCTTAAATCTCCCTGAAATTCAAAGGAGGTTGCATGCCTAACACCATTAGGTTCCTTTATAAATCCCAGTTGACATCTTTATATTTACATACAGATGACACAGCTAAACAAGCATTAAACAATCTATTGCTTAGGGGAAAATATCAGGAAAAATATTAAGCAAGGAAAAAAACCTGAGAGATATATCAATGAATGGAAATATAGCTTTAAAGTTATTTTCTAAAGCCAAAATAAAACTTGTGATAGAGTAATGAAATAAATCACTTTGGTTGATTTAAAAAAAATCATTTCGAACACCCTTCCTGCTCTTATTTTTCACCACCAGCAGAAGCGCTACGCACAGAAAATAAAACGAGCAGGACAGCACAGGGAAGAGCACTTTCCTACACAGCCTTGCTTTTACTTATTGTTTTCAAAGAAAAGGAATAGTACTGACTGTCTTCTGCAGTGACAATGCATTAGCAGGTTTTAAGAAGCTTTGTTTCCTTATCTTATATAGTATAAGATTTTATCTTTTGACATAGGTATGGTACTAAATTAGAGAATTACAATATTAGTCATGGCCAGTATGATGTTATCTGATAAAATATAACTATATAGATCATTGTTACAACCACTATTACATATTTGCAACATATCTTGTACAAAATGTGGCACGTAAGATATCTATAAAAGGTTTATGATTTGCAGGTTATGATTATGCTATCTCTATGCATGTATCATTTTTGTATTTGAAGTTATGAATATTGGCTCTATATCTGGATTTCAAATGTTTGCTCCTGGGGTAACGCCCATGAAGTAGTTAGCCAGCACATCTTGGAGGGACTATTCAAATTGAGTGGCCCATCAAAAGGACACTTAACTCATAATGGGCAATGGGAGACGCCCATCTACACTGAGCGGACTGTCCTATAAATGTACTTTCTGGAATATAAGTAATGGCTTCCTGCAATGACTGAGCGAAATTGGGCATCAACATGTGACTTTCCCATGTGACTCCAAACACAATCTGGTCACCTGTGCTGATGTTTTTGTTGGAAACAATGGGTTTCCCTTCACATGGCAGAGGATATAATTGTCCCTGGAAACCCCAAATTTCCGAAGCTTAGCTTTATATTCCATGATTAGGTACGAGGTATACCACTACAGACATCAGCGCATTTTTTCTTTCAAAAAATTATATAGTGTTTTATCATATCAATACATACATGTTTCTTATTAAAGTGATCTGTAATTTATATTAAGTTTGCAAGTTATTTAGGACAAATGTTCCTTTTGTAGGACACAGATTACTTGGGTTACAGTTCAGGGGAACTGCACCTGTATGCCCCCTCAGTGGCTCAGCAAAGGCACCCACTCTCAGGATTCCAGCTCCCCAGCTGTTGCCTTTCCTGGATGGAGACATGTGTCCCTCACTCTTTTGACTGGAGTATTTCCAGGCTGCACAGTTCCTTAACTTCCCTGTGTTATCCCCAGGAGAGACAGGCTGCCAAAGCAAAACTTGGTTGCTTTCTCTTTAGAGATGGTTAACAAGTGTAAATGCCACAGTTAAAAGGTACCACATAGCACCTCCTATGCTAGCCCACTTTATTCTTAAGGTAAAAAGCATTACAGAGAAAATATATTAAAACCAACAAACAAACCTACACACATGCTAAGAAGCTGACCAGAAACCATCCCTAACATGGATTCTGGCAAGAGCAGTCCTTTAAACCTTCACCCAAGGGGATTTGATGTGGTTACAGAATCATCACTGCTCCAATGCCGAACAAGCATCCGGAAGCCCCATCTTTCTAACCTTCCCCAGTGGATTGGGGCCTTTTGTGGACCACGGGTCCTGTCCATTTGCTGATCAGGAAGAAACCATGAGCCCGTTTAAAACTAGACTATTTATACAATAACTCTTTCTCTCTTTGTCCTTGGAGAATGCAGTTTGAACTAGTATATGCATACCTTTCCAGAAGGGTTGCTTCAAAGGATTGTTAAGGGAGATAGTATATTAGCATTCCCTCTCCCTACTAGAGAAGATACATACAATGCCACAATAGTACATAGCTGTATTTTTAAAACAATATACCCCCAAAGGCATTAACACTAATTCAATAAGGTTTACTCAAGATATTGCAGGAAATCAGCAGTCTCTCACAGCTTGTACATACAGTGAGCAAAATATCAAAACTGAACTCTGCCATGTGGCTTTGACAAGAATTTTGCAGGCACCACAGTATATTCCCGTTTTTCTGAAACCCTGTTATCCAAACCTCTGCATTATCCAAATGCCTTCCTTGTCTCTCAGCATAGGATACAGCCCCTTTGCAGCATGTATCAGATGCTGGGGGACAAGGAAAGGATTCAGTTAATGTGGAAGTTCAGATAATTGAACAGAGACTCCAGGCCAAGACTGGCAACGGGGAGGCCACCCTGCTGCTGAATGGCTCCTGCCTTCTCTATTATCTGAACAAAATTTGTGCCCCCGATGCTATTTGGATAATTGGGAGTATACTGTATTTGGTTTTGCTGATTCTCTCATTCTTGCAAACCCCATGAATGTAGACAATCCTTAAATTCCATTCAGTTGGATTTGTACAAACTCATTAAAGGTAATGGGATTGCAGAAAAGTCACTGAAGGCATAATTGAAAATAAAAGTGTCCTGTAGAATCATTATTGTGAACATGAAACAACTACCGGTAAGCTTGATTCTAAAATCCTAGAGTAAGTTTGCAGAACTTGCTTTGAAAAAAAATCCAGAACTTTTAAAAAATTTGTTAACTGAGCATATTTGATAAGGAAATCATTGAAGTTGACAATTAACATGGAAATCCACAATGTCATTTTTCACTATCCAGTCACTTTACAGACTTGACCTGCTCTTTAAGCCTCACAGAACCTTGTGAGGTAGATATTTTACAGATGGGAAAACTAATGCACAGTGAGGCCAGATGACTTTCCCATGTATATATAGCAAGTCAATGCAGATCAAGGAATACATTCTGAGAGACTAGACATCTACTCCACTTCTTAAACCACATTCCCTCCCTCATGAATTCAACTACCAATTATATTTACTAAAGAGGTTATTTTTTACCACCCTCTCCATTCTCCTTTCCTATTGATCTCTATCCAGCATCTTTTTGTCTTATTGTGATCAATTTAAACTGCAAGTATTTAGGGCCAAAGACCATGGGTAAATTCTGGCCCCACTGTCATCAGTTGGAGTTTTGCCATTGATTTCAATAGGGCCAGGATTTCACCCACTGTTTTACTCACTATTTAAAGTGCTATATACAAATGTTAAACAATAAACAATACTTTCTCCTCTTTTCTTCTACTATAAACCACATTTCTCAGGTCTAACTGTGCACTTCTATACAAATGATGCAGTCAATGGCATGGACTGAAAAATGAATGGCCATTGTACATCTGACTCTCATTAAAAGGCAAGTTAGAAATATTTCTTGATAACTTCATAATGTGCCTATCCACATACAGGTTTTATTTGGTACTATATGTGGAGTTGTCAACATGCAGGAGAATAATTGTTTTTGTGACAGTTCATATCTCATCAGAAGCTGCAAAGTTTAGGATAATATCTATTTGTACAAGATTTCTAACCCAAAATTTTTGATAAAGTGGCAGATAAGCAGGAGTTGAAACATACTAAGCTACAAAGTTTTTGAGGTTCACAATTGTTAATTTTTTAATGACCTATATCATTATTTAAATGGGGGAAGACACACACACACTTCATTTGTACCTGTTTTCAGTACACTAACAATTACTATTAACATAAAAAACTGCATATTGCTAGCAAAGAGTTGTTAAACACAGCTAGATAAAAGGCATGAGATTACCTTTATAACGCTTTCCCCAGGCCTCATGTCTGTATAAATCTTGACATTGTATGATATGTTGGAGAAGGTTGGCGAGTTATCATTTGCATCAATCACCAGGATACTGACCATAACTGCCATACTCTCCTGTACACCATCAGAAGCTGTCATCTTCAAAGGAAAAAAGAATACAGAAAAAAACACTTTAATGGGATAGAATTAAGAAAAATTCAAAAGTCTGATTTGTCACGCATACCCTCAAGTTTCACCTCACTTAAAAACCACTTGCTTACAAAATCAGACATAAAAATACAAAAGTGTCAGAGCACACTGTTACTGAAAAATTGCTTACTTTCTCAGTTTTTGCATATAATTATAAAATAAATCAATTGGAATATAAATATTATACTTACATTTCAATATATAGTATATAGAGCAGTACAAACAAGTCATTGTCCGTATGAAATTTTAGTTTGTACTGACTTTGCGAATGTTTTTTATGTAGCCTGTTGTAAAACTATGCAAATGTCTAGATGAGTTAATGTACCTCCTGGAAAACCTCTGTGTACCCGCAGGGGTACGTGTACCCCTGGTTGAGAACCACTGAGTTAGACAATCCATGCTTCAAAAAAATAATAAACTCTGAATAGACAAGACAAAGGATAAGGAAAAGGAAGAATTATTTTATAGAGGCAGAATTGAGGCCAAAGATGTAAGTGATTTGCCCAAGGTCAAATAGCAAGTCCATGGTAAAGCCAGGAACTGAACTCAGATCTACCAAGTCCCAGCCCAGTGGCTTAATTACATTCCCATCCTGTGTTCTCTACTATTTAAAGAGGCAGATTCTCACTCTTTCTGTGCTCACTTTGTATTGCTCAGGCAACCCAAAGGGACCAGACATTCACTGTTACTCCCCTGCTGGGGATTCATGTGATCCGAGGAGCACCCCAGTGGATTTAGAGCCAGTTCCTGTATTGCTCTTCTCCAACACCTGGCACAAAATACCTCAATGTATCAGGCAATAGGAAAGGAGTGATTGTTGAAGCCTTAGTTTTGTCCCAAGTTTCCTAATAAAGCAAGAGGCAGAGTATATAGAGTAGGCCACTGGGCTGCAGTCTCAGAAACTCTGGAAGTATGTATATATTCTCCCTCACTCTTTTTGTCATTGCGGGGAATTTTAAATGGTTTCTGGTTCTCTATACTTACACCAAACCAGTACTGGTTTGAAGCTAAATGAATTTCTACAGCACAGAGCTGTGTAGAGAGGATTTTTTCATCAAGTGGATACTATGAGCACTGTGTTTATTGGTCAAATTTAAGGATATTGTTAATAGTTAAACTAGCAATGTTGTCAATACGAGCAAGATGTGGAAAGGAAACCAGCATTTGAAAATAATCTCACTTGGGACCCAAACCTGCAAAGAACTGCATACCTTTAGCTCCCATTGAAATCAATAGGAATTTGGCACCTTCCAAAATGTGCTTGGTATCTTGCAGGACTGGATTGAACATACACACTAGAATTTCCTAAATTTCTCTGAACCACTCACACATTTATGCCTCCTCAATATCAGCAAAAGGGCAGGGAGGTGGCAGAGAGTAGTGAGAAGTGGGAATAATCCTACTTTCAGCCCTCTTTACCTACCAGACAGATGCCTGGGTAAATGGGAGAAGTAAGCTGTTTCATTAAAAAGGATGAACTAACTTACTCCTCCTTCACCCATATCCAGGGAGGAACAAGGAAGAGAGCAACTCTGAGTCAGAATTCATTCCTTGGTTTGTTCCTTGGTGCTGCAGCTACACACTACATCTTATTCAGGACAAATTGTAAAGTAAGGATCTAGCCCTAAATTATTCCTAGCCTCCAAGTGGGTATTAACTTGTGTATGAGAGAGAGCTGAGGACTGCCTATTCAAAAGCATATGCTCTGTTTTATTTCCTCTCTGCCATATCAAAATTTAGAATTCTGTTTGTAAATACCATATTGGCTTTTTCAACATTAAAAATGCTATAATACCTGAGCAGTTCCTGGTGTGCTTTTGAAAGAATATTGCTTACCGAAAAGGTGTACAGCTGCTGGAGCTCTCTATCAACTGGTTGGAGTAAGGTGAGGTACCGGGTTATACCAGTCTGAGTCACAGTGAAAAATGTATTATAATCATTTAGAAAAAGATGGAGCTGTGGATCCTTTGTCTTCAAAGAGAAAGAAATGAATATTTATTAATATAATATATATACGTAAATAGTCAAAATATGCAAGCATTAATTATAGTGTAAATGAGCAGAATTATTATTATTATTTATTTGTATTACTGTGGTGCCGACGAGCCCTAGTTAATGACCAAAATCCCATTGTGCTAGGTGCTGTACAAACCAAAAGATGGTCCCTGTCTGAAAGAGTTTACAGTGCACAGTACCATTACAGATAGAGTCTGTGAAACAGCAAAACACCTACATTGCTTTCACTAGCCCTCTTTTAAAATGTAATATGCTGAAAAAATAATTTGAAAATAAATTTAAAAATTTTAGGGAACCTCCCCCCAAAGAATGTTTTAAAAACAAAACAAAAAAACCTCTATTAAAATAGGGTGATAACATTTTGACTTATAAATAGATAATTCTTAAAACTCCATTTTATTTATCAAGATAAAGATTCTAATCTCTGATTCATAGCATTTGTTCTCATAGCATATCTTGAGAAATCTTTCCATTTGCTCAGTGCAGCAATAAAATAGTTCAGATGAACAATGTCTACCACATGGTGAAGATTAGTATCTGGTTGTTGCAGAAACTCTGTAGTACAAAATATTCAGGCATATCCTTGTATATCAGAAGAAAGAAACATTTATACACTGATAAAATAAGGATAATTACTTTGCCCACAAATGAAAATAAACCTCAGAATCTAGATATACTATAGTTTAATATTTATTTTGATTTTGAAGTAACATTTTTAGTAAACGTATGTGATATATTTTGGCAGCTCAAGACTTCTCTAAACAGGGAAAGTTTCCACGCTTTGAATTCCCCAACCTAAAAAGACATATTAAATGACTGACCTGGAACTCACCCTAATTTGCCTTTCTTTACATAGCTTGAATAGATAACGATTATTTCAATGGTGTGGGAAAAAGCAATAGCAACCCTTTCCAGAGAAGAGGTAGTCAGATTGAAATTTGGAACAGACAGGACACCAGCTGTCTGAAAGAGGGACAGACTAGGACTGCCATGAGAGAGAGAGAGAGAGAGAGAGAGAGAAAGGGCCTTACTCCCTATCAAAAATTACTCAACAGATGTGATGTTTAATGGCCAGAATCTGAGGATTGGCTCTTTAGCAACCAGTGTAGCCTGAGTCTGAAGGAAGCTGCAAAAGGGGCTCTAAGTCACATTGTGGATCCCTGATTCTCAGGCTGCTGGATGACAGGTCTGTCTTTAGGAACAATTTAGAGCAACCTTAGAAGTGTGCTAAAACTCTGGCCATGCTGCCTATCATGGAGATAGTCCTACTTTGGAGCAGGGAACAACACAATCATGCCAAAACTATTTCACTTGCAGATTCCTCTAGGGCAGAGGAACCCTAATTGGTTAGTTAAGCTATCTTTCTATGCATTTTGTGCTGTTGAAATGACACAAAAACAGAGGAATGGGCACCTTCTATTTAACTATGTATCTAACCTGCGACGCTGATTTAATTGGATCTTTTGCAGTTACAATGTATTGCAGTTTAACTTTTTAAACACTTTAATTTTATTTTCTCTCCTATTCTATGAAAATAAATGCCTCTTTGTTTTTTATATAATCTGACTGGAACCTAAGTGCTTTTTAAATTTGGGACACACTACCTCTGCTATTTTTTCAACATGGCTACTGGTTATCTGGATTAATTTCTTGAAGTAGATAAGAGGGGCAAGGGATGCTATGTGACTGATCAAAATAGAAAATGGATATTAAATTAGAAAATTAGTCACACAGAAATTGTCCAAAATGGTACAGACCAAGGGAAAGAAGACCAAAGCAAAATTATTGATCAAATATTACAGCTTTTACCATCTTCACCAAATCCAGTGGTTGCAAAATGCCTGTTTGTCTTGAAAAAGAATGCATTTTGAGGCCCTGTCCCCACACCCACATACACATATCAGAGTGAAATACTTCAAAATAAGATCTTCATTTCACCATTTTTAACACCTAAGGAGGATATGGACATACTCTACATTTAAGTCAGTGCTACAAAATGAAATCTGAAGCTTAAACTTGTTATGGCTTTTAGACTCTCATCTCACAAAAGAATTCTGTGGACAAAACCAGACAAATATATAGCTACACAGTTATGAACACTAAAACACAGTGTCAAAAGGTGTAATATTACTTTTCTGAGAGCACTGTTCTTGTTCTAAGAGCATTTACTCAAACTGTATCATAAACAGCTTTCCTGAAGATCAATTTCCTTCTACTCCTAGCTAATTAATTATGCAGGAAGATTTAGGAATTAAAAAATTACTTCAAAGTGAAAAACCTTAAGATTCTCATGGCCTAGCAGGCATAACAAACATTTCAACAACCTGAAACAAAAGCACTAAAACTATAATACTGTAATAAACAGTTGCAAACACAGAATAGGGCAAAAAGATGAAAAAAAGATTTAATTTTGCAGTCCAAAGTACTCTAGGACACTGAAGCAGATTTGGAAGACAAAGATTATACTATTTAAATCCTAGACCTAGGAAAACACTTCAGTTGCTCAAAACTAAGTGCAAGAAGTGTTACAAATGAGTGGTTTCCTGTCACTTAAAGATATGCTATAACCATGACAGCTGTCAGTAAAATTAAAGCTCTTTTCGCCATTAACAGTCCAAAGAAAGAAAAAAGGGTGTCCATTATGTTTTTTCCAGAAGTGGTGGCAATGACTGTTCACTTGTAGACTCTATAAAGTTAAACAAAGAACTTTATTTTCAGAAAATTCCAAGCCAATTTTTAGATCTCTATATAGTACTGAGTTAGCACAGGCTCGGTTCAACTAAACGTTTTGTTTATAACTCTAAGAATGTTCATTCCAATTTCGTTCTTTGAACCTTTCCACTTAATTTGATATTACACAAGTGATTCCTCAACACTGTATGGCCTTCTAGCCAAATCTGTCTTGTATGGTTCCTGCTATTCACACAGTTTTGAACAAGATTAATTTAACTTTCTAGATGACTTTTGTTTCAAACATACAATCATGTGGGGTTCCCTGGGTTCCATTATAACCCTTTGCTTCTGACCATCTATGTGTTCTATTACTTTCTTTGAGGTCCATCAATGGAATTTGGATGCTTTCTATGCTAAAGACACTACTAATTACAGACATTAGAACTGTCATCTCAAAGCAAGTGAATACTTGGTGAGTATCCAGAATGGAATATTGGGTAGATGGTTGTGATAGGACTGATACAGTGAAAGAGACATACTCCTCCAAAAAGCTATAATAATGGAATTTAGCATTCTCTTCGGTGTCATCCATCATTAACAAAAACTGCCAGCTAAATTCTGATTGCAGGTTAGGCTTGAGGTCAGGAAAAAAAATCTTTGACTTGTAAATTGAGCAGATTTGATATGGGAGACACTGAGACAAACTAAATAATGGAACACTATATGTCACTTTTGTGATCACTATTATAAATATAATCATTTTTTTAAAAATAAGGATTGTACACAAGCACTACCATTCTTGACTACTACAGTGGGTATTTGAGGTTCTCTCTGCCAAATCGTATGCAAAGGTCTGAGCAGATCAGATAGAACCGGCAATCAGAAACCACTCAGAATAGTGTAAACTAACAACACGCAGCTAAGAACCACTTCAAGCATGCAGAACAAACCTCATATGTTTTATCTTGGCACTATTTAGACTATTTATTGTTACCCATCTGATAAGTAATCAATGTCATTTTCTGTAGCAATGACAATTTATTTTGTAGCAGGATATATATTTATCTGCTGAATATATAAAACAGTGTAACATATCCCTATTAAAATTCCATTGACTTAAGTGGGCTTACAGCAGAGATGAATATGGCCCAATGTATTTAATGTGTTACAAGCAGACTTCTCTAAAAAAACAATAGTTCCAAAGTTTCCCAGCTTTACTGAAATAAAAATGAAGGAAAGAGAAACCAAAGCACACAATTCCAACCAAAATATAGTTTCACACACTCAACACCCAGTACCTACAGGAATGGCATCTGGTACAAGCTACAAAACAAAACAAACATGATATAAAATGAATAAATACAAACAAAAACACATATACAACAATGATGTACCTTATGAAAATGGAAAAAATAACAGTTACAAATCTGAAACAGTTAGGTGAGCTGCAAAAAGCTTTCACAATGCACACAGAGTCCATTTATACTGAGCCTGCTTTGTTCTACTTCCAAATCTCAGAGCAGTTCTTGAAAATTTGCAAATCTGGGAAGAAGGTCACTTTCAGTTCACACAACACAGTTCCCTCCTACTGAAGTTCATTTCCTTTACAAAAAAAATTCCTATAGAATTTAATAGGGATAAAATCAATAGCTTCTACAGAAATTACTCTTAACACTGACAGAATCAATAGAAAATGCTATCTGTTCAACAGGTTTTTGAACCACTGTGTAAAATTGATAGAAGGGATATAATGCTCTATAAATTTCGAGAGGACTTTCCCATAAGCTTCCAGAACAAACCTCAGTATCCAAAGAGTGCCTCTGGTGGCTTGTCCACACACTTCCTGCCCCAACCTTGAAGCCAGTTAACTTCCTTCCAAGACGTCAGAAGGAAATGAGTGATCCTCTTGAGGGAAAGAGCCACATATGGGTAATTTCCCACTCCCATAAAGGATTCCTCTACCCATATAGTGTAGCGGGAAGCAGCAAAGAGGCTGCATCTGCAATTAAACTCTGGCTGTACCAGGGCTAAGAGGCAACCCAAATCCCATGCATGCAGTAGAGCTGCATCTCATCCCCTAGAACACTCTTGATGGATTAAGGTAGTGACCCATACTGTCATACCCAGATAAACTGCTTGGGATCAGGGAAGTTGCCATTCAGCACTCCACGGGAACCACCAAGTAAAACCATCCTGCCATGTCACAGAGCAGAAAGGGTGGATGGGATGGGAGTGGCATATTATGTCACCATCACTTCTGATGCAGATAGCATAAGTACAGT